CCTCCGGCCACTTCAGTCCTTTTTGTGGCTGAATAATATTCCATTGTATAGACAGACCACATTTTGTTTACCCATTCATCGGTTAATGGACATTTCGGTTGTTTCTGCTTTTTGGCTATTCTGAATAAGCTGCTACATTCCTGTGCAGATTTTTGTGTGCACATATGTTTCTAATTCTCTTGAGTGAAATTGGTGGGTCATGTGGTAACCGTATGTTTAACTTTTTGAGTAACTGCCAGACTTTTCCAAAGTGGCGGCACCATTTTGTATCTACCAGCAGTGAGTGTATTATAGGGTATTATTTACTTTTTTCTTTCCTTTTCTTTCTTTCTTTTTTTTCTGTTGAGACAGTGTTTCACTTTGTTGCCTGGGCTAGAGTGCAGTGGCATCATCATAGCTCACTGAAACCTCAAACCCCAGGGCTTATGCCATCCTCCTGCCTCAGCCTCCTGAGTAGCTGGGACTACAAGCGCATGCCACGATGCCTATCTAATTTTTTTATTTTTGTAGAGACAGAGTCTTGTTATGTTGCCCAGGCTGGTCTCAAACTCCTGGCCTCAAGCAATCCTTCTGCCTCAGCCTCCCAAAGTGCTGGGATTATAGGCATTAGCCACTGTTCCCAGCCTTATTATTTTTTAAAAGTAGATCATTTAAAAAGAAGCCAGCAAATCGTTTACCAACACTGGTACTCCACAAGTGTTCTCAGTAAGAGATCATTTGCAGTGTGCCTCAAAACACATGGACCAGCCTGCCCAGGCACCATGCCGAGAACCACTGTGAACCTGGGGCTTCAACCCCACTAGAAGGGGAGACTTTTTTGGGTTTTTTTGAGTCTGAAATGAAGCAAGCCAGGTAGCTCTTGGGGAAGAGTTTCTGCTTTGTCGCCTTAGTCTGGTCCCCAGTGGTGGCCCACTGTTTAAGAATTGAGCTTTTGTTCTTGAGTCTGCACCCTAATTCCAGAAAGCTGTCCATGGAGCGCTCTTATCAGCGTTGCTCGCTGTGGTGCTTCTGCCTACAGGCTCTGCCGCATCAAGATGCAAAAGCCCAAAACCTCTGCCCAGTATCTTTGGCAAATAGCAGAGCTAGAGGAACGTGTAGTGGCTCGTTCCTGTAATCCCAGCACTTTGGAAGGCCAAGGTGGGAAAATGGCTTCAGGCCACGAGTTCAAGACTAGCCTGGGCAACACAGCAAGACCCCATCTCTATAAAAAAATTTAAAAATGAGCCCGATGTGGTGGTACCAGCTCAGCTATTCAGGAGGCTGAGGTGGGAGGATCTCTTGAGGTCAGGAGTTCCAGGCTGCAGTGAGCTATGATGGCAGCACTGCACTCCAGCCTGGGTGACAGAGCAAAACCCTGTCTCTGAAAAAGAAAGAAAGAAAGTGGAAAAAATTCAGGAGGAGTTGTATATGCCTGTGGTCTCAGCTACTTGGGAGGCGGAGACAGGAGGATCACTTGAGCCCATGAATTAGAGGCTGCAGTGAGCTATGATCAGGCCACTGCACTGCAGCTTGGGTGACAGAGCAAGACCCAAATAAGTGGAGCTAAAGCTCCTCACTCCTCCTGCGATAGCCGGTAGTGGACGCAGGGCTCAGCAGGCTGAGGACCCTCCTGCCTGGCACCCCCGGGGTCCTCTCTTCTCAAAGCCTGTCTTAGAATGCAGCTTAAGGTCTAGAAATTGGGGAGATAGTATAGAATAACCCCTGGTCTTTTCCCTCCCTCTGCCTGCAGAGAAAAGAAATTCTGGGAATGCAATACGGAATACCACGAAGTCCGAGGAACAGAAGATCAAAGACGCCAGGAGAGGTCCCCTGGCACCTTTTCCAAACCAAAAATCTGAAGCAGCAGAACCTCCAAAAACTCCAACCTCGTCTTGTGATTCTACCAATGCAGCCGTCGCCAAGCAAGCCCTGAAAAAGCCCATCAAGGGCAAACAGGCCCCTCGGAAAAAGTGAGTGTCCCCATGAGTCCCCCTCCTAATGCAGAGCAATTTGATTTTCTGACCTTAGGGAAGCCTGCTCAGGTGTCCTGCTGGGGCTAAGTGGTCACCTCTCAGCCTCTCTCTTTCAAAGCCTCAGACTCCTGCAGACGCTGTCAGCGATGCTGTTAGTTGTCAGCATCTCAGTCTGGCATAGGTCCAGAGTGCAAGAGCCTCGCCTCCTTGCCCCCTGCAATGAGAGTAAGCGTCCTGTCTTTGAAACACTCTGAGGCCCTCGTGGGCTGGTGAGCTGAGTGGCCATCGGGCTCCAGTGGACAGAGGTGTTTAAGTGGCATCATTTGCAGGAGTTGCCTCCTAAGCAGTTGTGTGCCTCCCAGCTGGGAGTGTAGTTTTCAGTCCTAATATTTATTTTCTCTTCTCTTCTCACCCAGAGCTCAAGGAAAAACGCAACAGAATCGCAAACTCACGGATTTCTACCCTGTCCGAAGGAGCTCCAGAAAAAGCAAAGCTGAGCTGCAGGTAGAGTCACCTGGTTTTGATTCCAGCTCTTGGAGGGGCAGGAGCGCCCAGTGGGCAGTGCTGGGTCTGTGTGTCCTGAGCCTCGCTTGTGTCGTCTTGGGGCAAGTCTCTGGGCTTCTCTGGCCTTGGTTTTCTCCTCAGTCTATTGGGGTCATCACAGTTTGCTCTGCCTCGTGTTTTTTATTTACTTTTTTCCCTGAGACAGAGTCTTACTCTGTCACCCCAGGTAGAGTGCCGTGGTGTCATCACAGCTCACTATAGCCTCAAACTCCTGGGATCAAGCAATCCTCCTACCTCAGCCTCCCAGGTAGCTGGGACTAAAGGCATGCGCTACCATGCCTGGCTAATTTTTTCTGTTTTTAGTGGAGACAGGGTCTCACTCTTGCTCAGGCTGGTCTCGAACTCCTGAGCTCAAGCGGTCCTCCTATCTTGGCCTCCCAGAGTGCTAGGATTATAGGCTTGAGCCACCGTGCCCGGCCTGCTTTGCCTTTTTGATGGGATCACTGTGAGGCTTGGTGATGACACTTCTGTGAAGGAGCCTTGGACCTTGTAGTATGTGGCATGGGAAGCCAGGCACTGCTGTGACGGTGGTTTTTCCAGGACTTGTTGGCAGGGCCATTTGGAGCCTGGGACCGTGGGGAAGGCTGCCCATTCTTTCAGAGGCTTGTCTCGTCTGTTGTCTGGAAGTTTCCATGTTGTGGCTCAGGGTGGTAAGGAGCAGTGGCTTGGAGCCACTTTCTGATTATATAACCTTAGGCCAGTCACTTACCCTCTCTGCCTTGGCTCTCCTGTCTGTAAAATGGCATGATGACGTACCTGGTGGGCTTGTTGGGTGGAATAAATAAATGTGTTCATGCACGTAGAACCTTTAGAACAATGCCTGGCACACAGCAAGCGCCAGTTAACCGTTACTGTCGTCACCATTGCTTCCCAGTGTTGTTGCTTCCCTGTGTTGTTGCTGCCCTCTGCTCCCCCTTCCCCCGGCTGTCATCGCTAGGACATGCGGAACAGAGGGAAAAGCACCGGTGGGAAGGGCAGCTGGCAGTGCAGGCCTCTGCCACCGTGTTTGCAGAGGGCCGAGCTCTGCAGCAGTCCGTCAATATTTGATGCAGTGAGGTGTGGCTGTTGCCTTTCTGTTAAGGAAACCCAGGGCGTGGCCAGGTCCCTGCCACTCAGGGACACTGGGGCAGCCCCTCCACTCTCCCACACCCCGACAGCGACCGCTGGGCTTGGGAGCGCTGCTCAGGATTGCCCCTACCCAGAGAGCTGGGGACCCCGGCTTGGGCACTTTTAGCGTTTCAATCCTCAGTGGATTCCTTCAGCGGTTTTTATGTTAACTGTCCAGATACACAGTGGTCCCGTATTCATTCTTTCTCTTTCTTTTAATCGATGAAACTTTATTTAAAAAAACAACCCAAAAAGGGGATCTGTTTTTCTCCCCAGAGAGCAGCTTTGGCTCCATTTCCTGAAAAAGGCAGTGTCTTTCCGCCAAGAGTGAGCTGTTATAAAACACTCGCCGGCAGTGGCAGGCTGTGCTAGGTCACCCTTACAGACGGCACTGCGGAGGGTGAGGCGGTGCCAGGCCGCAGAACCCGGGACGCCTCCCAGCCGGCTCGGAGCCGCAGCGCCCACACAGGCGGCCTCTGCTGAGGCTCGCCCAGGGCCGTCTGGGATTCCGGGTGGGGGCAGCTGAGGGAGCCAGGGCTCGGCTGCCGGGAGGAGTGGCGGCTGCAGCAGGCCAGGATGCAGGTCTGCTCAGGCTGGCAGCAGAGGAGCGGGAGGGCAGCGCTTGCGTCCCCAAAGCATGGTCCGCAGGCACAATAAAACTCTCTCTGTTCCTGGACGAAGAGCCACTTGTGAGCGAGAGCCGTGTCCCTCACTGTTTGTGTTGGCTCTGCTGAGTGAGCGCCATGGCAGTCAGGCTGTGTGGGCCGGTTTCGATGGGGCTGTGGCTGCTGCTGGCTAGGGCACTGTAGTCTCCTTTTTTTTTTTTCTTTTTTGCCTCCTCTCCCCACCCAGTATGTTCTCTTGACTGCAAAGAGAGCGCAGGGCAGGGCAGCGCAGCTGGGCCACATCTACCGGGCGAGGTCAGTCCAGACCTGACTGCCCTTCTGGGCTGGGGCGCGTGGGGCAGAAGAGAGGCCGTTATTGGCCAGGTGGTCAGGAGTGAAAGTGAAATCACAGCTTCTCAGAGCTTGCTGAGTCTGAAGACAGTGGGTGAGGCAGCGTCTAGGTACAGGGTCCAGGTCCAAGGCAACAGGGTGGCATCTGGGCTGCAGGGATTGGACACAGGGTGAGCCTTGGAGAGCTGCCCTGAACCCCTTGGCACTTCACTGCAGGGGCCCCTTCACTGGCTGGCCTGGCTTCGGGTCGGGTGGCAGCCAGCACTGGGGCAGGAACTGTGCCTGTTGGCAATGCCCTGGCTTCTTCAACCCCAGCTCAGCCCCAGGGCCCGACACGTAGAGCGACCTGCTGATGCCACCTTGGGAAGGTCCCCTCCTTCCTGTGCACAGGCCCTCCTCACCCGCCCTGGTTTCCACCTCGAGTCCCTCCCAGTCCATCTGCCTCTAGGCCCCGCTGTGGGCTGCTGCCACAGTTCCTTTAGCAAGCCCAGAGCTGGTTGTTGACATGCCCCAGACTTCTGGCCTTCGGGAGACTCGGCCTCCCTGGCTGTGCGTCTGGGCGTCCAGCCTGGCCCCAGCTCATTTCCTCTGTGCTGTGGTCAGTCCCAGCAGGAAAATCCCCAGTTGGCCACCCTGCTCCCGTTTACAGAGGCCGCCATGTTCCTCACAACTCTGCACACTTGCTGCGAACTGATCACGCAGCAAGGCGGTTGTGTGTGTGTGGCGGTGCTTGGAGGGCCTATTTCTCGCCACTGTTCTAGGCCAGGAGATTCCACAGAGAACTAGATCAGGCCCCTGCAGGGCCTCCACGTAGTCATGGAGTTTGTATTCAAGTGCGGAGTGATTAATAAAAAAAGATAACTAGAAGAACAAGATAATTCTGGACAGCACTTCGTTATTAATCTTATAAAACAGAGTGGTTTCGTAGTGTGGCTAGATTAAGGCTGCTTTAGCCATGGTAGTCGGGGAAGTTTCTCCAAGGAAGTGAGGATCAAGCCAGACAAATAGATAGGGGACAGGGCACCCCAGGCAGGGGGACGAGCAAGTGCAAAGGCCCCGAGGCAGGAAGAAGTTTGGCCTTATGAACCAGCCAGCAGTTGTGGCTGAGGGTGGGCGCGTGGGCCAGGGAGGTAGATGAGGCTAGGGCAGCAGGGTCTGTGCCTCCAGAACCTCTAAACCATCAGAAAAGGTTTGAATTTTTATCTCAGTGGCAGTGGGAAGCTGCAGGAAGCCTTTTGTGTAAATAACTTTTTATTTTGGAATAATTTTAGACTTATAGAAAAGTTGCAAAGGTAGTACAGGGTTCCCATAGGGCCCCTCACCCAGCTTCTCCCAGTGTTAACCGTTAATTTTCCCTGGTAGATTTGTCACCACTAAGGAACCAACGCTGGTGCATAGCTATTCAGTAAACTCACTGGGAGGCTTTGAGCAGGGAATTGACACAATCTCCTTCACGTCTGGTGGATACTGGAGTGTGCGGGGTCAGCGTGGAAGCCGGGAGAGTGGCGAGCTGGCCGTGGCTCGGCTGGAGGGCAGCAGCACGCACAGAGAGGAGGTGGCTGGATTGGGGGCTGTCTTTGAGGTCACTGTTCACCAGTGTCCCCAGCATCACAGGGCCTGGCACATTGCAGATGTGGACCAAGTGGCTGGAGGAGCTGCGAGCTGGGTGGGGCCTCTGCGTGGGGACGATCTGAGCCGGGCAGCTGGGGCCGCCCCCCACACACGTCACCCCATTTGGCAGTGGTCCATGCCGGCGAGCCACGCTGGTCTGGGGCTTCTGGTATGTCTCTGTATGGTTCCCTTTTGCTCCCCAGGGTCCTGTGCACCAGCAGAGCAGGGGACCCAGGTTAGGGACGGAGCAAGAGGGGTGGCCCTATGGAAGAGGTGACACTAGGAATGACACAGGGCTGTGCTGACTCTCCAGGTGGGAGGCCCTCTTCTCATCCCTGGTGGTGGCTTCTGGGAGATGGAGCTCAGAGATCTAAACAGACGCCTGGAGGGGCCCTCCGATAGGAGGGACGTGGCACACACATGTCCTGTTCCAAGGGCGTAGCCTCTAATCTGTCATAGCTGATTTTATGTGAAGTCAGAGTCCTGCTTTTTAGATGTCAGTGATTGTACATTTTTTTTTACTTTTGAGACAATCTTACTTTGATCTTGCTCTGTCACCCAGGCTGGAGTGCAGTGGCCCAATTCATAGCTCACTGTAGCCTTGAACTCCTGGGCTCAAGTAGTCCTCTTGCCTCAGTTCCTGAGTAGCTAGGACTACAGGTGTGTGCCACCATGCCCAGCTAATTTTTTAATTTTTTGTAGAGACAGGGTCTCACTGTGTTGCCCAGGCTGGTCTCAAACTCCTGGACTCAAGTGATCCTCCCGCCTTGGCCTCCCAAAGTGCGGGGATTACAGCTGTGAGGCACCGTACCTGGCCAATTTGGACTTTTTTTAAAACGCTGCGTGGGCCAAACAGAACAAACCCTCAAGCCCCATTCTGCCTTTGGGCCACCGCTGTGTTCCTCCCAATCCAGTTGAACCTCAGGTGACAGATCATCCACAACATAGGGGTGATAAGAAATGGAGAAAGGTGCCTGGGAGGTTTGGCACCATTGGGGACCGATGTCTTGGAGGCCGACTGTGACCCTGTGGGCGTGGCCTGGGCTGCCAGGGCTTGAGGCCATGGAACGACCCAGAACGGCCTAGAGAGAAGGCTGATCCTGCTCTTCTTTTTTCTTGCTTCTCCACCCAGTCGGAAGAAAGGAAAAGAATAGATGAATTGATCGAGAGTGGGAAGGAAGAAGGCATGAAGGTAAGGGTGGCATTGCCTGCGTCGGGGCTGGGCTGGAGCGCTCACCTCCCCTGGTCCCGCAGCCAAGTCCCCTCCTGTGGCCACTGTGACCAGTCAGGCTCTCGTAGGCTGTTAAGGAGGCAGTTACTAAAACTCGTTAGGGAAATGTCTTATGAAGGAAACATAAATGGCCCTTGTATGGAAGTATTATCCTGGGGAAACTTTTGTTTTAGGAATTGTGTGAAAATACCCCTAACATAACATTTACCATTTTAACCATCATATAAAGTATACAGTCCAGTGGCATTTAGTGCATTAATGCTGCGCAGCCATCATCTCTGTCTAATTCTAAAACGTTTTCATCCTCCCAGACAGAAACCCTGTGCCCAATACCAGTGGTTCTGCCCGCCCTCTGTAGTCCGCGGCAGCCACTGTCTGCTTTCTGTTTCTGGGTTTGCCTCTTCTGGACAGGTGACATGAATGGAATCATGCAGCATGTAGCCGGTTCCGTCTGGCTTCCCGAAACTCTGTTGTCCTGGGAATGGCAATGTCCAAGAAGGTTGCTTTTCTCTTAGTGTATTTCAAGCTCATTTGGTTCGGCCACAGTGGTGGCCAGATGAGTCTGTCCTTGGACCCGAGAGTCAGAAAGCTGCCGCTTCTCTCCTCCCAGGGGGATCCAAACTTAAGTCCTGGGCCCCTCGATCAGCCCCCTCCAACTCCGTGTGTAATAGAATGAGGAGAAACGAAGAGGGTAAATTATGGAATGAAGGACCCAGAATACTGGGTCCTGTTTGCCAAGAGAGATGTAGAGCGTGGTGCCTACGCATAGAGACCAGCTGTGTGGATTTGATTCCCTGCTACACCACTGCCCACCTGTGTGGCCTTCAACACGTGGCGCTGCCTGTCTAAGCCTCAGTTTCCTCCTTTGTAAAATGGGGCAACACCCACCTAGCAGATCTCTCCCGAGGATCTGATGTAACAGTGCTTTCCAGATGGACACAGGAACCAAATCTGTGGGGTGGTGGAAGTGTTCTAAAGCTAGACTGTGCTGATAGTTGCACAACTGTATACGTTTACTAAAACCCATCCAACCGTACATGTAAAATGAGTGAATCATGGCATGCCTCAACAAAGCCGTTCAGGAGTGGCGTAAACCCCGAGCTCCTAGGAAGCCTCCGTGCGCGGCAGCATCCATTGCTCTTCTGAACGAGCACTCTGCTCACCTCCCGACAGATTGACCTCATCGATGGCAAAGGCAGAGGCGTGATAGCCACCAAGCAGTTCTCCCGGGGCGACTTCGTGGTGGAATACCACGGGGACCTCATCGAGATCACCGATGCCAAGAAGCGGGAGGCTCTGTATGCACAAGACCCCTCCACAGGCTGCTACATGTACTATTTCCAGTATCTGAGCAAAACCTACTGGTAAGTCCGCCATCACTTTGCGTGGCTTTTCTGTCCTCCAGGCAGAGGGGACAGGCCAGAGGGCCGGGGCCAGAGAGAGCTCCCGAGCCTCTTTGTCAGCCCTGCTTCTTGTTTTGTTCTCGTTGCCTTTTTCAAAGCTGTGTTGCAGCTCCCTCCTCCCCACCCCACACTCTTCCCATTTGTAATACTGGGAATGGGAGCTGTTCTGGATATCATCTCATCCATCGGGAAGCAGACCTGGACTAGTCACATGAAAACCTGTTCAGCAGCTCTCTGGCCTCTCCCTCTTCGGGGCATTTGGCCAGAGCAGCTCTGGAAATCGCTAATTGCTCCTTCCTGGCGAAGGCCGGTGGAGTTGATTTTTATCCATTTATTTATTTTGTAAAACTCTACAGTCACCTCCTGTGTCTCCATAAAGAGTCCTTTGGATTCTCCCACCTCCGCCCCAGGCCCCGCCCGGAGCCTCCCCAGGCTCTTGAAAGTAGCTTTCGAATTGAATCTCTTTCCCAAAAACACGGCTATGCATCGGCATGCCGCCAGCGTTGAGAGCAAGCGCGACTCTGACTGGGTTAAAAGGCTTCTTTCTTGCCCTCCCCCCACCAGCGTGGATGCAACCAGAGAGACGAACCGCCTGGGCAGGCTGATCAACCACAGCAAGTGCGGGAACTGCCAGACCAAACTGCACGACATCGACGGCGTACCTCACCTCATCCTCATCGCCTCCCGAGACATCGAGGCTGGGGAGGAGCTCTTGTATGACTATGGGGACCGCAGCAAGGCTTCCATCGAAGCCTACCCTTGGCTGAAGCATTAGCCGGCCGTCGCCCTCCCTGTCCCACCCTCCCTTCTTCAAAGGACAAAGTGCCCTCAAAGGGAATTGATTTTTTTTTTTTTTTACACACTTAATCTTAGCGGATGACTTCAGATGTTTTTAAAAAATATATTAAGATGCCTTTTCACTGTAGTATTTAAATATCTGTTACAGGTTTCCAAGGTGGACTGGAACAGATGGCCTTATATTACCAAAACTTTTATATTCTAGTTGTTTTTGTACTTTTTTTGCATACAAGTCGAACGTTTGTGCTTCCCGTGCGTGCAGTCCAAGACTCAGCACAGGTTTTAGAGGAAAGAGTCATGTTTGAAGCAGGAAGCCGGGCGAGTCTCCTGCCTCCGGTGGAAGAGCCAGGACTGTGTCCCCGCACTCCCGACGTGCAGAGAAGGCGTGCGAGGAAGACGCTGCCTCCTGGCGGCCTGGACGGGATGTTCCCAAGCTCTTGTTCTCCTGACGTCTCGACAGGCGCACATCGAAGTGTATGAATATTTTTTAAAAAGGTTTCACAGTAAGCTAGTCTTCCCCTCTGCTTTCTTGAAAGCTTACTGACCCTGTGGCCCGGAGCACGGGCCGGGCATAGATTTACTCTTCCATAGGCTGCCGCTTTTCTGGGCACCTCGAAGCATCAGGGCGGATAATGAAACCAGACGTGGGCAGGGAAAGCATCGCTTACCTACCCTGCCAGGGCAGGGTTTCCTGAAACTGGGTTAATTCTTTATAGAAATGTGAACACTGAATTTATTTTAAAAAAAAAATAATAAAAAGCAAAAAAAGAAACCAAAAAAAAAATCAAAAAAAAGAAAAAAGAAAAAAAACCACAGAAAACAACTTACATGTATATAGGTCTTGAAGTGAGTGAAGTGGCTGCATCATTTTTGGGGATTTTTTTTTTGTTTTCGTTTTTGTAGAAGAGATTTGAGATGGTACTCTATTCTAATCAAAAATAAAGTTTTTGTAGCGGGACCAGAAATTACTTACCCGACACCCCCCTGACCCCATCCCTACGACGCACCCCTGATTCTGCTGGGTTGAAAGTTCCAGACCTGCTGTCAAGGCCTTCTGTTTGTCAGACCACCCAGTGTCCTTCCTGTGAAGACGCAGCCATGAACTGGAGTGTGAGCCTACGGGCCCAGGGCCCAGCAGCCCCCAGGGATCAAGGATAAGGCTGAAGTTTTCACCCCGACTGTGACGGCAGGAGGAGTGGGTGGCTTCCTCCTCCCTCCCTAAGCAGGACCCACTCTCACGCACTGTCCCTTCAGTCCAGGGGGCCGGGGCTCAGGAGCTCAGGGGGCTGGGATCTCCGGCTCACCCTGGTCCCAGGTAAATGTGAATGGAGTCAGGTGTGAGAGCCTGTCCTTGTCCTCGATTCACTCCCACCCCAGGCCTCACGACGGTGCTACCTAAGAAAGTCTTCCCCTCACCCCATGCCAGCCTGGTCAGCGGTCAGCCAATTCGAGGAGGATCCGACGGGAGTGTGTAAATGTGAGATAAAATGTCTTGATTGTACCTGTTTGTGGTTTAGCTTTGTATTTAAACAAACAAACAAGGAAATAAACTTGAAAATTATTTGTCATCATAAAAATGAAACAAGAAAAATTAAAATATTTATTGCCAGGCAAGGCCACCTGTGTGTGTGTGTTTGTATAGGGCAGAGGGAGAGGAAGGTAGGGTTTGACTTTCCGTTTTATCGTACGAAAGGGTAACGCGTCCCGTAAGTCTAAACTTTGATGAATGCCTTCCAAAAGAGTCAGAAAGTCTTGCTGATAGGATTTTGAGCCTGTTCCCTAGGATTCCTGGGTTCCTCAGTTTCCTCGTCTGCGTGATGCAGGGTCGTAGGTGTTCCTGGAGGTTCAAAATTAATGCATATTGAGGCTTAGAACAGTGCCTGCCACGGAGCACAAATTTTAGCGGCTATCATTGTTATTATGGTCATTTCTAATTTACGAGACTTGATTCTCGGGTCTTAATGCTGGGAATTGCCCTCTACCAGCCCAGATCTGTGTCTCCGCGTTTGGGCAGCGGAGGCAGATTGGGAGCGTGGTAGAGCCCTTGGTTCAGGGGCAAGAGATCCACTTCCGGCATCAGCTTTAAGCGTTTGTCAGCCATGTGACCTTGGGCACATCACTTACCTCTCTGAAACTTGTCCGTCAAATAGGAATAGTCTGTGTCCACTTGCCACGCAGAGGTGTCTGTCATCAGGTATGTCCTCACCTCGGAGAGGACCGTGTGGCCTAATGGCCACGTGCTCAGGCCCTGGAATAGAATCTCTGGTTCCGGTCACGTGGCAGCATAACCTTGGGCAGGTACCCGACCTTCCCCGTGGGTCACTTTCCCCTGTAACGTGGAGACAAGCACTAGTCCTCGATAGGGGGTGACCGTTAATGAGTTAACACCAAAAGCACTTGCACTGTGCCTTGCACGTAGATGACCCGCGGTGGTCAATGCTGGCTATGACGGTAAAAATTTGGGTGGTTTCTACCATTCACTCTTCACAAGTGCTCAGGACTGATAGCTCTTAAGCTCCTCCAAGTTCTGGTATTTAGTTGCTGTATTTATTTGTTCATCTTTTAAAAATAATTGCTGCAGTAACCATCTCTTACGCCTCCTGAGATCTGGCTTGAAAATCTGCTTCTAAGCTCATTCTTCCCCCTGCAGGGTTTGTAGTTGGAATCCTGCCATGTAGGAGTGGCCGGAGCCCACCCCACGCCACAGCTCTGTTGTCTGTGGTTAAGCAGGCCCGTCTCTGGGAGAAATGCTCCCAGCACGCACTTTGCAGAGTGCCACGCCCCAGCGTCTGCTTTTACCAAGAGTTGCACTCCAAGCATTTCTTGCTGTAACTTTTTTGAGTCTCTCCCAGGGTACCAGAGCCATCAGGGCTGTCTTGTCTTGACATTGCTTTCTGAGCAGGTTCTCTTACCCTGTCCATCGCGAGGAACAGGAGGCACATGAGCATTTACACAGGGTGCCCCCTGAGTCTGGAAATTCAGGAGATACGTATAAATGACTTACAGATAGCAATACACAGTAATCTTCCGCTGGCTTCTAGACTTTATGGCATTCTGCCCCCTGTAGGTGGGGACACTGAAGCAAGACTGGCTCAGGAGCAGGGAGGTCAGCTGCCACGGCTGGGGCTCTGGGATGTAAGGCTGATGCCGTGGAGACTGATCCAGGAGTGTCCCCTGCGCTGCAGCCCAGCCAAGGTTGCAGCCCTCCCCGCTCTAGAACGCTGTTCTGTGATCCCACGGCCGCTGGTGTGGCTTCTTCATGTGGTTTAGAGTCAGGGTGCATAGATTTGTCTGTCAGGTTGGCTCTCACCTCCAAGGGGCAGAAACGTTCTCCTCCCTCCCCCAGTTAAGAGGGGGGCACCCCGCAGAGTTGCCGTGTTATACAGGGTGCTGGGATCAGGAGACCTTGACCTCATGACCCTGTTGGGGTGGCAGTCTGGGCTGGACTCCCAGACACTGCCGACTCTGTGGGAGGCGGAGTGGTTACAGCCTGGGTGTGGAGTTTGTACCTGGGTTCAAGTTCTGCTGCTGCTACTTTAGCTGGGGACCTTGGACAAGTCCTTTCACCCCATTGTGCTTTAACCTCCCTGGGTGTACTGTGAGAACGATAATAAAATCCCGTCTCACGGGGGCACGGTGAGACAACGTGGGGAAGGTCTTTAAGATGGTGCAGGCGAGGCGTGCGGTGCGTGGTCGGCATTAATGTTAATCAGCACTTTTCAGAGCCCGGGCACACGGAGCGTCGCAGGTCTTAGCGCCAGGCCTGCGTTTGCATCGGGGTAGCCGCTTCCTGGCTACTTGACCTCGTGTAAGATACTTAGACCTTCCAGAGCCTCAGTTTCCAAACCTGTAAACTGGGGGGCTCAGTACCAGTCCCCACCTCGCCGAGCTGTCATAAGGAACTAAAGAGAAAATCCTCAGAGCAGGCGAAACGTGCAGGGTGAGCCCGCGTGATTGACAGAAGACGGCCTTCTGGAACGTGCTCTGCAGCCTCGTTAGTTTCTTTGCGAGGTGCAGCCACCCCTTCTCTATATACCGTATCTCACTGACTCCTAAATGCGCATTTTTTCACATCTTGACATCCCTGAAATCAGCGTGAGCCTTACAGCCAACAGCATCTTAAAGTTCTAATTTGCAGCATTATACTGAGCAACGTGGCGCGTCCCCCAGATCCGGGGGACCGTGTACACGCACCACACACACACATACGCATCTTAACTCTCAGAGACCCCTCCAGACAAAGACAGAAAGTATAAAAGCCATTTTACTTTAATACAAAAATCACATACAGAAAGTTGTGGTAGCTAAATCAAATGTTCACTCAGTGCCAGTGAAGTCACCACTGGGCTTTCTCTTCTCCCCGCTGCTGCATGTGAAAGACCAGGGTCGCCACCAGGAGCAGGTCGGCGGAACACACGTCTGCAGCCGGGGTGTTGAAGCGGAGCGGGAGGTGGGCCCCGCATGCGTTCCTTGTGCTTTCTTGATTCTTTCTGCTGCTTCGCTTGAGCCCTGGCCACACCTTCGAGGGCGTCCAGTTCTGCAGCCGGGGAGAAAGTGATCCCAAGAGACCGTCATCTCCTCCCTCCTCCATCTGCCGTGAGTGGGGAGCAGATGAGCAATGCACGTGTGGCACAGGGACGGCTTTACAAGGCATCTGGGTGGGCTGTCTCCTGGAGTCTGACAGCGCTGCCTTCGTCACGGCCTTTGATCTAGGTGTGCTTCCCCGACCGGAAGAAGAACCTGGGTGGAGAGAGAGGGGTCAGACTAAGCAGAGGGAGTGAAGCAAGGGGCACAGAAACCCCTGCAGATAGCTCTTGCGGGCCGTTGACTCAGGAATGTGTTTGGGGCTTATTATGGGACAGCTGCTGTTCAAGGTGCTGCGCATCGATTGGCTCATTTCACACTCATAAGAACTCTGCAGGAAGGACCATTAATATCCCCATTTTATAGATGAGCAAACTGAGATCCTAGGAGATTAAGTAACAGGTCCAAGGTCACGCAGTAGTTGTGCAGCCAGGAGTTGGGCCCAGAGCCATGCTCTTAACTGTGCTGTACTGTGAGATAGTGTCCAGCACCTTTTTTTTTTTAATTTTAGGAGGTTTTTAGCTGGGCATGGTGGTGCACACCTGTAGTCTCAGCTACTTGGGAGGCTGAGGTGGGAAGATCGCTTGAGCCCAGGATTTGAGATTGCTGTGAGCTAGGATGATGCCACTGCACTTTAACCTGGGCAACAGCGAGGCTCTGTCTCAAAAATAATAATAATAATTTTAGGAGGTTTTATTGTGGAGGAAGAGATAACTTCTTGACATTACATATGATTATAAAACAGATCTTTGCAGTGAATGGTTAACACATGCATTCTTGGATAAAATATATAAGACACATAAAGCGATTTCCTGAGACAGGAATACCAAATTACCAAAATATGCAAAGTACCAACTACCAAAATATGCAAAGTTTTGAAAAGGAAGCACAATGTCCTATAGTCCAATACTATCTCCAGTCATGAGAAAGAGGCTCAGATCACTGGCGATCTGAAACATCACTCATGGGGATGCGGGCTCTTGCTTCCCCTCAGAAACAAACCCCAAGTGTCCCCAGCAGCTTGTCCCAGGGATGGCTGGGGCAAGCCCTGACCAGTATGCAGAGATGCAGGCCTGCTCGGCCATTGTCCCCCTGAACCTGCACACACTCCCCCCACCCCCAGTTTCCTGTCTCAGGAAATGATATCACCCCCCACCCAGGCACTCAAGCCAGAAACCTGGGAGTTGTTCTCTACTCCTCCCTCCATCTGCCATGTTTTAGTCATCACACCCCAAATATGTTCCTAATCCCACCACTTCTCATCTCCTCCACGGCCACCCCCAGCCCGAGCCACCCCACAGTGAGAACAACCACCTCCCCGTCACCCCTACCAGCTGTTCGCACGGCAGCCAGGATGACCGCGCCACAGTGAAGAAGTCACAGTCATTCCTCCTCTTAAACCTTTCTGCAGCTCCCCACTGTCCTCAGGATAAAAACAAAAACCCTCGGCATGACCTACTTCAGAAAGTCACTCATTCATTCATTCATTCCCATTAGCCAAATAGGCTTATCTGACCATGCAAGGGTGGCCTCACACTCATCAAACACATGCCTTTCGGCCGGTACATGCACAGAACATTTTATTTTTGCCATATTAGGCTCAAATTCCTATTAAGTGACCCAAAGAACTCCCTTAGGAGGAGGCAGAAAGAAACCGGTTTATGCCTTCTGGAAGCCTTATTTACGACAAGACACTCAGCCAATGAAAATCCTAAACGACACTGTCAGACCCTTCCTTGGGGAAGAAACACCCCCACTGGCCCCACTTTCCCCTGGTCCCCCAGCCTCCTCCACAAAGCAGCCAGAGTGAGTGTTGTATATGTAGACACGGTCAGCTTAAAACCCTCCGACGCCTTCCCGATGCACTTAGACTAAAACCCGAAGTCCTCACCGGGATCCATGTGGCCCTAGGTGACATGGCCCCTTCTTCCTCTCCACCCTCACCCCCACTCTCTTCCCTGTTCCTGCCAACGTGATCCGCTCTGTAAGCCACCTCCAGGCTCAGGCCTTCACTCCTACCGTCTTGTCTG